CAGGGACCCTCAGAGAGCCTGGATTTGGGATACCAGTTCTTGCCACTGAATGGCTTCTACTGCCAATGCTGTTCAGCGTGGGAGAGGGTGAGAGAAAGAAAGTGGATGTGGGTGTCTCCTGTGACTGCAGCCTGTGGCACATAGAATGTGGGGAGGTGAGCTCTGTGGATGTGTCCGGGAGTCCTGACTGGGGAGGGGTAGGGAGATTCAATGTCTCACCCCAGCTTCCCTTGGAATATATATCAATGCCATTCTTGAAAACTCCTTGGAAATAGCCACCGTCATCTGGCTGTCTGGCCAATGCTATTTAGTCTTCATCCCTGACAACTACTGTCACATGACTCCTCACAGCTCATCTGCTCAGAGACTCCCTGCTGCCTTGGGGCTGCTATATCGGAGAGGGTAGGTCATCATCCTCTGGTAGCAGTGAGGCAGGTATTCAGGTGCCACCAATCCTCTGAAGGCATGTTGATGCTCATACTCTTTCTTTCTGGGCTTTTGTTGTTCCTGAACAAATAGACAATAATCTTAAAAGTCTCCATTTATCCACACACAGCAGTTTTATTTGTATTATTCAACCTCTCCTGTATCAGCTAGGTTCCAGAGGCTGAGGGTAGGAGAGAACTCACCTTAGCTAGTCACAGCTCTGTACAGGACATGATAAATATTAAGCAAATGTATAACCTCTAGCTTCTGCCTAGCAAATTGAAGAGAAAATATAATTCATAGAAAATGGTAGAAACACCTATGCTATCTGAATCTTTCTTAAAGTAGCCTATAATATTTAATAGACTCGATTACACATTTCTTCTACAATCCCTGAAAATTATGGAGAAAATGAGGCTTGAAACAGAGGGGACACAAAGGAGGGATTGTAGGAAAAACTTGAAACCAGGACTCCTACTGCTGTCCAATGGGTAAATCCTTCCCCCTAGGTGGTGAGGTGGGAAGGTGTGTCCAGGGCAGCCAGTTTGGGCTAGGTCTTAGAGGATGGATGTGGGCACAACAGTGGGATGGGAGGTAGAATGACTGTGTGTGTGAGTGTGTGTTATGGGCTCCGCCTCTAATTGTGAGCTTATGGGGCCCCTTCTTCAGGGGGTCACTTTTTCCTCTGTCTCACATCAGAACTACTTGTGTATGATTCTGGGAATCATTAGGCTTACTTTAAGCAACTAGCCAGTAAGACTATTAATTTAACACTGAGTTAAACTGGCTAAGAATTTATTTATTTATTTATTTATTTATTTATTTATTTATTTATTTATTTATTTATTGAGGGGAAGCAGGGAGAAAGAGAGGGAGAGAAACATCAGTGTGTGGTTGCCTCTCACATACCACTTACTGGGGAGCTGGCCCACAGTCCAGGCATGTACCCTGACTGGGAATTGAACAGGCAGCCTTTTGGTTCACAGGCCATTGCTCAATCCACTGAGCTGCACCAGCCAGGGCATTAATTCTTAAAATAAGCTTTTATAAGTACACAGGTCATAAGTGTACAGCTTGGTAAAATTTTCACAGTAAACACCATCTATAACAAAAACTAAAACATTGCTACAGATATGATTTTATCATGAAAAACTTATGGGACAGGATAAATGTTAAGCGAATGTATAACTTCTAGTTTCTGCCTGGCAAATTGAAGAGAAAATACAATTCATAGAAAAGTTTTTTAAAAAGCCTGTATCTAGCCCTGGCTGGTGTAGCTCAGTGGATTGAGCACGGGCTGTGAATCAAAATATCGCTAGTTCAATTCCCAGTCAGGGCACATGCCTGGGTTGCTGGCCAGGTCCTCAGTAGGGGGCACGTGAGAGGCAACCACACATTGATGTTTCTTTCCCTCTCTTTCTTCCTCCCTTCCCCTCTCCCTAAAAATAAATTTAAAAAAATTTTTAAAAGCTTGTATCTAATAGGAAAATGGACACAAGACACAATATCTTAAACATTTAGGAAAATGTTTAATTTCACTCATAGTTAGAGAAATACAAATTAAAACTGTACTAATATCATTTCTCACTTAAATTCATGAAAATTAAGAAGTATGACAGCACATTCCATTGGCGAGGTTATGGGAAACAGGTAACCTCATATTTTGATAGTAAGGATGCAAATGCATACAATTGTTTCAGAGAGACATTTGGCAATATCTAAAAAGATTATATTTGCATTTTAAATTTGTGTTAAAAATTTTACCTCAAGGAATTTATACCTCCAATATTAAGAAAATACTTATGTATGAAGTAATTATTCACAGTATTGATTGATAAATATTAGAAACCAGGTATATGCTCAAACACCAGAGAGTAGTTGAATACATCAACACAATGGAGTACTATGCAGCTGCAAAAAGTAGGAATATTTCTTTGAACTAATATGGAATGATTTCCAGTGTAAAAAGGGAAAGTGGCATGTATAGTATGTACCTTTTACATAAAAAAATAAAGAAAAAATATATGCATGCATCACTTTATTTCTGCAAAATGAAGCATAAAGATAAACCAGAAACTATTGAGGTTGGTTACTGATGCATGGTGACTGGGAATAGGGAGGGAAGGACTGGGGACAGGAACAGGATAGAATGGCTGTGCAGGGAGTGGCACTCCTCAGCATACACATTTTTTCTATAATTTAGACTTTAAGAATTGTGTTATATTTCATATGCTCAAACACAAAATGGAGTGCAAACACAAGTGAACCTAATTCTATTTCTCTAGTTTAAATACATACACACTCATTCTAGCACACTCAGCATCCAGGCCCCAGATCTCAGTTTCTAAATATTTTCTAGTGAAAGAAATTAGGGCTCCTTGGGGAAATCACTGACTTTAGTGTTGGGGTCTGAGACATCTTTCTACTTAGAAAATTAGAAACTACATGTCACAATTTACAGCATCAGATTTAAGGGGTTCCCACTGGCCAAATCTTAGATGATTTGAGTGTTAAAATAATGATTTTTATTAAATAGATTATAAGCCATACAATAAAATAAGGATTGATGAGTTTATACAAATGAATGCATGGATGGATGGGTGAATGAACAAATGAATAAATAAGAGAAAAGAAAGTTCTTTATGGTGGAATTCCAACTAAAAGTAGAATTAGAATTATGGATTTAGAAAATTATCTGGCAACCCACATAGTTAAAGTTGTTCCAGGCAAGAATCATCAATGGATGTTAAAGCTAAAAGGTAGTGAGAAACAGGACACGTACACAGTATCAAAGTAATTCTCTAGAAGATATTTATTAACTACAAAGAAAAAAATAGTAATTGCATGGTGGACAGAACTGGCAGGCACCATCTTAACTAAGTGATCAATGTTAACACTGCTAGTTACTGGGCTAATGGATATCCTGTGCCTGCTGATACGAATCACCCAGAAAAAATACTCCTTTCTATGGTATTCCTGACAAAAATACAGAACTTGAATCTATAATATTGAGGTAACATAAATTAAACCCAAACTGAGGGACATTCTTCAAAATAAATGATCTGTATGCTTCAAAATGTCAAACTCAAAACACAAAGAAAGACTGAGGAACTGTCCCAGAAGAGAGGGGACTGATGACTAGACATAATGTGAGACCCTGGATTGGAATGTGCACCTGAAGGGAAATTACTTTTTCTTTGGTTATAAAGGACAGCCGTGGGCAACTGGTGAAATGTAAATAAGGCTTGTTGATTGGATATTAGTCCTGTATCAATGTTATTTTCCTGATTTTGATCATTTTACTCCAGCTATATGAGAACATCCCTAATTTTATGAAATACTCACTGGAAGATGGACTGGGGGAGGCATTATCTGAGATTTTATATGTATATATAGATAGATAGATAGATAGATAGATAGATAGATAGATAGATAGATAGATAGATAGAATTATAGAGCAGTGGATGGATAGATGGATGGATGGATCGATGGACAAATGAACAGATGGACAACAAATGATGGAGCAAAGAGCTGGAACAGAAAATAATAAAACAATGTAGTAAAATGAATCTGGATGAAAGGTAAAGGATGTATAAGAATTCGCTGAACTATGTTGGCAACTTTTCTGTAAGTCTGAAATTGTTTCAAAATAAAAAGATTTAAAACACAAATAAAATGTCTGTCCACATTACATATCACTTCCTGCTAAACTGCATCTGTAAGCAATGCTGCTTAATCTAACTTTGATGTTCCTTATGCTTTGAGGGAAGCCTGTAATCCTCTCACACTTGCAGTTAGGATGACAGAAAGTGACTCAGCCTCCCCTGCTTCCCCAGAGGTTTTCAGCTTCCTCTAGGTGCTCTGATCGGTGGGACAGCCTGTTAGTAAAAACAAGGATGGTGTTGATTTGCCTCTTTGCCCTGAAACCACCTATCTATGTGCACAAAGTTCTGCATGAAATTCTGCTTCTCTGCTTGCTGTCTGCCACCAACCTTCATTGGTCAGAACATTGTGAAGGTCATCTCAGTGACTATCTTTAGTACAGTCAGGAGACTGTTCCCTTGGTAACCAAGTTCATTTTTCACTGATTCTTCTCTCTCTGACTTTTGGGAATGTTGGAGCTCTACTATGAGTCAGTTACCTTATAAACAACAGAAATATGACAGGTTGTTATACAAGGTATCGTACAACCCCTACAGAGAAGGAATTGTGTTCACCCCATGAGTTGGATCTCTGGAACTGTGGTCCAGCCAGTTCTCTTCCTGTGCTCAGTGATAATCCATGGGGTGTCTCACAGTGTCCATTACTCTCTTCATCCCACATTGCCTCAGGGTTTCTTCGTGGTCGTCCCTGATTGACCCTTCATGGGGCCGTGTGGAGAAGCCATGCCTACAAGCATCCTGAAGGAACCACACTGCAACCAAATGCTCCTCTCAGCCCTAAAACATCAGGCTTTTTTCCTCTTTTCATGCCATCTGTCCAAAACTAAAGGCGCAAAGCTGCTGTAGTTGGTCCCCAAGTTCCCACAGGAACCCCAGGAATGCAGCTTGGATTTGCCCTTCTCTTTATTGCAGCTGCATCCTCTGATTCTGACCCTTTTCCAAAGGGAGATGGGCCTGGAGACTGCTTTCATGCCGTCGCTATGCGGCTGCCCCTGTCCTCCAGGCCCTGAGCATCATCTGCAGCAGGACTGAGCAACCCAATGCTTCATTTAGGGCAAGCAATTTCCTCATTTGGGCAAAACCTAAGAGGGCTGTGTCACACAGATTAAGATTCTAGCAGTTTTAAAGCTAATCTTTTACAGAGTCCCTTTATTTTACTTGTTAATCCATTTTTACAATAGGAAGTAGGGTAATCTTTTAACTAATTTTCAAAATTTGTAAAGTTTTTAAAGAGATTAAATGAACTAGAGTTGGGTTAGTAATGTCTTGGTGAGTAATGACCATATTTGTTATGTATAATGTGCACTTTTTTGCCCAAGTTTTTTAGTGAAAAAAGAAAGGATGCACATTATACATGGGTAGTACTAATTCTATACCTATATAAATGTTTTAAATTCTTTTATTTATACTTATGCATTGAAAGTGTAACTCTAGAAAACCACAACAATATCCATATGCAAAATAATCCCCAGGAATACAATAATTGATTTTGTTTCTAAATATAAATAAATAAAACTTGAATTAAAAATTAAAATGAAACATTTTTTCCTGAAAGTTTGGGCCAAAAACATGGGTGCGAATTATGCATGGGAGCACATTATACATGGCAAAATATGATATCACAAGTATTGGTGGATAAAATCAACTTCTCATGACTTTAAGTTGTTAAGTTTTGATCTTAACTAACACAGTGTACTCTTGCAAATATTTTGACAAGTGTAGTTTCAAGGACCAAACTTGTCTCAAGATTACAAATCTACTCTCCCTGGAATGATGAAAACCTAATTTTCTTACTATTATCAAAAAGTTGCTTGGCCACCTTAACAAAAAGACCTAGACAGAAAATTCAAATTTTTCTCAAGTTAAGAAATAGGTTCAGTTTTAACTTTTCCTCTCTCAAAAAAGTCCTATGGCTAGGTCAGGACCTTGTGGATCATCTTCTCTTCTTTAAAGTTTCTTCATGAATTGCTAAATGAGTCTGGTGGCTTCTGCTTCCAATACATGTTGGGCCTTCCCCACTGGACCTGCAGCCTATTAGTGTTTCCATATGAGCACTCTTTCCCAGCATTGCTTGGAAAACTTCTGTGTTTTTCCAAATTCCAAATTCTAAGAAAAAGTCATTGAAAAATTAGGAAAACAGAAAAGAGCTCTCTAAGTCTCCTGCAAGATTTAAGCTCTGTGTGTAACACAGATTTACTGGTATGAAGGAATCCATTGAAATCCAATGGAACTCAAGAGCAGGAAACACTGATACACAGAGTCCAAAGTTAAGGGTGATAGTTTTGGAAACCAAGACAGACGCATGCAGAAGAAAAGCCATCAAGATCTAATTAAGGAAAAAAAAAGATCTAATCAAGGGAAGCATTGTGCTAAGCAAAATAATCCAGTCAGAGAAAGATAATAAGAATTACACATGACTTCACTCATACATGTAACCTAATGAGCAAAAATAAACTAACAAGCAAAATAGAGACAAACTCAGATACAGAGCAGGCTGAGCAGGCTGGCAGCTGTTGGGGGCAGGAGAGGCTGGATGGGGTGCAGAGGGACTGAGCAAAAAAAAAAACAACTCATGGACATGGACAACAGTGTAGTGATTGCTGGGGGGTGTGGAGGGAGGTTGAGGAGGGTATGGGGGGATAAATGGTGATGGACGAAGACTTGACTTGGGGTGGTGATTACATGGCACAGCGTACAGATGACATTATAGAACTGTGCGCCTGAAACCTATATAACTTTGTTAACCAGTGTCACCCCAATAAATTCAATAAAAGGGAAAAAGATCTAATCAGTTGGCCATGAATACAGCAATCCTCACCTAGTGTGTGTTGTGACCTGCCTGCCTCTCATGGTAATTGTTGCAAATACGAGATACATGTTAATGAGTTCATATGCATGGTATACTGAATACAAATCTTATGAATGATGTTCTGAGAAATAACAAGTTTTGAAAGCAAAGTATGTCCGGAAATTAGCAATTTCAATGTAGATTCTGGCTAATTCTGTTAACTTAGTTAACGTATTACCAGGAGACCTAAATGCTGCATTATTCAAATATTACATAATAATGTTTGTTGCTGTTTTCTAGTGTTTGAATATTTGTTATATTAAAACTATAGTTCTATAGATATTACTAAACTTAGTACTTATTTATTAAACACACTTTTAGATATCTATAATTGTAGAAATACTTAAAGAATAACATATGATTCTTTGTTAAGAATCACATAACATATGATTCTTAAGTAGAAATACTTAAAGAATAACATATGATTCTAGGGGAATTCCTGAAAATTCCAGAGAGTTCTCATTTTTCATTCCTGAATCCCAAAGAGAATATCTGTAGGGAAACTGCTAGGAATTCTATCTTAACTTTGCTAAAACCTATTGGGTGGCTCCCTCAATTTATTGCTCTGGGTTCACCATTAAACAATGAATCAAACAGCTTTCCTTTCAGATTTGCTTTATAAAAATTTTGTCTTTTCTTTTGGCATAGTGTTTTTATTTCAAACCACTTCATTGAAGTCTGATTGATATGTGAAAAGCTGTACATATTGAATGTGTACAACTTGGTGAGTTTGAGGATAAGAATACAACCATGAGCCCTGGACAGTGTGGCTCAGTTGGAGTATTGTCGTGTATACTAAAAAGTCTTGGGTTCAATTCCCAGTCAGGGTGCAAATGGGAGACAATCAATTAATGTCTCTCATATACCAATGTTTCTCTCTCTCTCTCCTCCTTCCTCTCTCTAAAATCAGTAAATGTACATATACAAATTTTTAAAAGAATACACCCAACTACCAAGATTTCCTCTTGCCCTTATTATTATTATCGTAAGCACACTTATCATAAGACTTACTCTCTTAGAAAAATTTTAAGTATATAATACAGTATTTTTCATCTATAGGCACTATACTGTATAGGAGCTCCACAGAACTTATTAATTTTTTTCTAATTTTCTCCCAAGGATATATTTATTGATTTGAGAGAGAGAGAGAGAGAGAGAGCACAACTGGGGATCAAACCCACAGACCAGGTATGTGCCCTGAGAGGGAATCAAACCCACAAACTTTTTGGTATACTGTACAACATTCCAACCAACTGAGCCACCTGGCCAGGGCAGAACTTATTAATCTTGCATAACCTAAAATTTGTACCCTTTGACTATCACCTCCCCATTTCCACCTCCCCTAACCCCTGCAACCACCATTATTCGCTGCCTCTGTGGGTTTGACTGTTTTTAGATTCTCCATGTAAATGAGATCATCCAATATTTGTCTTTCTGTCTGGTTTATTTCACTTAGTATAATGTCCTCCAGGTCCATTTACATTGTTGCAAATTTGCCATGTTTTTATTTATTTTTTTTACTTGTTCATTTATTGATCTAAAATGTCTTTATTTTGCCTCCACTTTTGAAGTATTTTCTTCTTCTTCTTCTTCTTCTTCTTCTTCTTCTTCTTCTTCTTCTTCTTCTTCTTCTTCTTCTTCTTCTTCTTCTTCTTCTTCCTCTCCTTCTCCTTTTTTACCAAATGTTTTTAAATGCCTTTGACCACATAGTTTTCCAGCAGTCTTCTCTCCACATGTCTACATGTGAAGCTGTGGTTGTTGTGAGAACTGTGGCCAGGTGGACAGCAGTCTGGACACAGTGCCTGTGGGCTCCTACTGGGCACAGTGGTTCTCAGGACTGTCACAATTACAACTAGTTTCAAGTGCCTTTTAAATCTTCATGAACTTCTCTGCAAAGCCAGAGAGTTCTGCTAAAGATGGAATTCACTGGAGAAGAGTGGAATAACATGTACCTTTCCAGGGTTTGGTCCATGGCAGCAGGGAGAAAATTTAGGTTTGGGTTACAATAACAATGTCAACAAAAGAAATCCATGAAGCACGAAAGTCTAGCATCCTAACCCATGGAACCCCTTTCTCCCAGAAGTTTCACTCAGCCCTGACATGGAACCCCGACACTGTTGCTGCTATCTTTCCTCACATGTGGGCAGAGGGTGCAGGGGAGGTGCCACAGATTCTGCAGTACAGAAACTCTAGGCACAGGCACGTGGCTTTAACAGCCTTGGGGCCTGACCCTCTGAAGACGGCTCCTCTTCCCCAGTCAGAGCTGACTGCTGGGCCCTGGGCAGGGCTGCTGTTCTGGGGCCTGGCTACCTGCTAGGCCTTTCTTTTGCTCCTCTGGGCTGGAACACTGTACTCCTGAGTTGCCCAGCATGGTTTAAGGAACAGGGGAGATAGACTGAGGAGACAGAAAAGCATAGCCTTGGGGCCAACTGCAAAGCCAGTTTGGGTGATGGAGGATGCTGTGGGATGGGTATGGCTGCATGGTTACCAATGGTGCCAGCAGAGGTGCCAGCATGCCCTAGGATGTAGAGCAGCAGATCTTTTGGGGTGACAGAAAGGGTGGGTTGGACACAGCCTATACTTGCCTTCAGTAGATGCTGCAAAAGGCCCCAGTGCTCCTGAGTCGCTCTCAGGGAACTCTGATGGCAGGTAGTGACTCAGTGTGAAAATGTTGATAGCTAAGCCTGAGGATTGGTAGGGCGGGGATGGCTGTGAAAGAGTCCTGAGAAGAGGCCTCTATCTGTGGCTGCCATGGCTCTCATGCCCCTCCCTGTAGGAGGGCTCTGATTCTCTCACTGTGTCTGTGGGTTTCTTCTCCTTGTGCTCAGATGTTAGGACCTTTGCATCTGGGATTAATTCCGCTGCAGTGGAAGGTGCTCTGGTTGCTATGGATCAGTGAGGTAACCTGCTGGGGTGCATCGCTCTGTTCAGTCACAAGGGAACAATTAGTGTTCTTTACTCATAAACACTGTGCCCAAAGGACCTTTATCACAGACAAACTGTTTTCCATAGAGGGTTCTTCTTTGGGGTCCTACCCCAACCCATAAGAACCTGAGAAGAGCTCTATAAAGAGGAAGGTTCCCACCTATGACACTCACCTTTTCTTCCTAAAGCCATGGGGAGAAGAGATGATTTCTTAAGACCCTGATATGAAGCACCTAGAAACTGAAGGCATCTCTTCTTC